CAGGACACCTTGTCTCAAAAAGGCCCATATCAATCAAAACAAAACAAACAAACAAACAAAAAAAAAAATGGAGGGCATAGTCAAACTGTAGGGATAAGTTTGGAAGAGCTGATCTGGCGAGTGTAGGAGGGGGCAGTTATATAAAAATGTGTAAGCTTAGTAAATTTTGTACAGCCCCATTGCTGGAAGTAGGATTTATGAAATTCTAAAGTTTCAGAGAAGTAACTGAAAAATAATGGCAAATCTGTGAGTGAAGTGGTCCTTGGATTCGTTGGGTACAAGAATGGGATTGTGAAGACTGTTTAGGAGGGAACTGCTCAGTGGGCCAGAGATGCAGTTCCAAGGAGAGGCTCACCTTGTTTTTTAAGCCATTCAGTACTGTGAAAAGGAGAAAAATCTATGGGTTACTGGATTGTTTGGGTGACAGCTAGTCTGGGCTTAAATTTGTTATCCTCTGTCTCAGCCTCCTTGACCCTGGGAGTTGGGCTTTACATTTCTTTTTTGATGCCTAAGGACTGAACCTGGGGTTTTGTGTGAACTACAATCCTCAGCCCCAGGTTTGGGGTGTGTGTGTGTGTGTGCTTGTGCATGCATGCATGCCTGTGATGATCTTATGCATCCTAGGCTGACCTCAGGTTGACTGCGTAGCTGAAGATAACCCTGAGCCCCGTCTCCCAGGTACAAGCGTTACAGGAGTTCACCACCATACCTAGCTCCTAAATTTTGATGTGTTTTTGTTGTTGCATTTATTTATCGACTGATTGATTTCAAGCTGGTGTCTTGTTGTGTAGTCCTGGCTGGCCTGGAACTCACTATGTAGACCAGGCTGGTCTCGTGTTTACAGCACTCCATCTGGCTTTGCCTAAGTTTTGGTTTTAAGTGAGAAACTAAACAGTGTAAAACATTGCCTACATAGTAATAACTATGTAAGGAAGGAGATTGCTTTTGTCTACTCTGTTCAGCTTTAATAGTTTGATAAATGTCTTTACACATAAATTGAGGATTAAAACAAAACAAAAAACCATACTGTTTAGAGTGCGTTGTTTCGAAGAAAATGAATGAACCTTCAAGTCAGTATATAAACTGTGTGTGTAATGTTTTATAATATTCTGTGATTGTTCTATTGATAACCTTTAAAAGCACTACAGAGCATGTTTTAATACAGCAAAAATTTCCATTGTTGTAGAACTTGTTGAGAGGCTAATTTTACCTGGGTGTGGTGGTGCATGTCTTTAATTCCAGCACTTGGGAGGCTGAGGCAGGTGGATCCGCACGAGTTGGGAGGCCAGCCTGGTCTACACAGCGAGTTCCAAGCTAGCCAGGACTATGTAGAGAGACAATGAAAGGCTCTAGCAGTCTCAAGCATGGCAAACATGGTACCAACAGGTTTCACACCTTCTCCTTTCCTTCTTCCTTGCTAAAACGGTTAGATTACATTCCCAAAGCTAGCTCCCAAGGTCTGTTCCCTTATGTGGCCACTGACTCATTCCTGAGACAATACACCAAGGTCCAACAATCAGAATTCATTATTTGGCTGCCCTGGCTAACCTGTCCAGTCAAGATGTACCACCTAACTACCCTAGCACAGACTCTCCCCTTTTCTCCTTAAAAACCCATCCCTGTGCTGGGCATTGGTGGCACTCACCTTTAATCTCAGCACTCAGGAGGCAGAGGCAGGCGGATTTCTGGAGGTTCGAGGCCAGCCTGGTCTACAGAGTGAGTTCCAGGACAGCCTCCTAAGCAATACAGAGAAACTTTGTCTCAAAAAACAAAAACCAAACAAACAAAATGAAAAACCCATTCCTGCAAAGGAAAACTTCCTGCTGCTGCTGCTTGCTGTCTGCCTTGCCTGATCCAAAGGCACCCCCCCCCCACTTGCCACTCCAGGGTAATAAACCTCCTTTGTGCTGAGAACTTGGTGTCTGGGTGCATCCTGTATGAACTCCTAGGAGCAGACCAATCTCCCTACAGACACCTGCAGGCCTCAAAAACAAAGCAGAGGTTTTTATTTTTTTTTTTTTAAACTTTGAAGTATAACTTAGACTCCTGAAAAGTTTGCAAACATCTTGGTGGTCAGCACGTGAGTATCTGTGCAGGGCAGTGCCAGGAGGCCTGGGCCCTGCTGGGCTCTTACCCGGGGTCTCATGGAGGCCAGGCTGGCCTCAGATGCACTGTGCTGCCACTGGGCACCTGGGGCTGATTTCTGCCTCCTCCTCTGGGCGCAGGGATGACAGGCATGTGCTGTGTGTTGTAGTCTTACCTTTTTATGCCTTTCTGAAAATGGGCATCGTCAGTGTGAAAGTTACTCTCGTCACTGACAGGAGTAGGGCAGAATTGCTTTTAGGGAAGGACCTGAAGACGCAGGAGAGTCACGGCTGAGTGGCAGGAATGAACTGTCTCAGACATGCTGCGGAGTGGCTGGTGGTGGCACAGCAGCATTGTGGGAAATAGAAGAGAATCAGGAGCTCAGTCAGGGCTGCAGACTGGGTAAGAGCACTTGCTGCTCGTTTCCGGCAGCCTTCTCAAAACCCGTATCCAGTTCTCAGGAATTTGATGCTGTCTTTTGGCCTTTTCCAGGCACTTACATACATGTGGCATGCAGGCATACTTGCATACAGAGCATAGACATAAATCTTAAAAGCTGAGGGGTCCTCCCTTTGCTACATCCTCTGTTTGAGATTTTTTTTTTTTTTTAACAAAGGGGGTTGGGATTGCTGGGAAGTAACATTAACAAATTTAAGGAAATAATGAGTAGGAACCTTTAGAGAAGTCTGTAGAAGGCGCAGTAGTAGTCCAGTGGCTAGCCAAATTCCCATTAAAGAATGAATGTGGGCTAGGAAAACTCACCGGTGAGTGATTTGTTGAGTGTATGGAGTTGGGGGTGTTCTGTGGAGCACAGTGGAGGTCATTGGGTCAGTCTCTAGCTGAGTGAGTCAGTATGTCATAAGACTATATATGTGTACATCCTGCTGGTTTTGATTTTCATGAGAACCCTGACCAATACAGTACTAAAAATAAAGAAATCTGGCTGTGTATGGTGGCACATACTTACAGAGAATTCAGGAAGCAGAGGCAGGCGGATCAGAAATACCTGGTCATTCTAGTTTATTCAGGGGGTTAAACATTGTTTGAAATACATTAGATCCACCCGAAAAAAAATTAATACAAGCAAAAACCAAAACAAACAATGCCCAGGGCTAGGAAGGCAGCTCAGTTGGTAAACACAGGGACCTACCTGCATTTACTTCAGACCCAGCTGAAAAATCTGGGCAGGGTAATGGATGCTTGTAATCCCAGCACTGGGAAGGGGAGAAGGCAGGTTCCTGGCTGGGGCTTGCTAGCCAGCCAGTATACTCTACTCAGGCAAGTTTCAGGCCAAGAAGTGACCTTGTGTTGAAAGGACAGGGGGAAAGAGACACAGCATCTGGGATGGCACCGGAGACTGTCCCCCGATACCCACAAGTAGGTGGGTGCTCACACACTCCTCCCACTCAACACAAAAAGATGTGCGTAGATACAGTTCTAAGATGTGCGTAGATAGAGTTCTATCCATAATTGTTAACCCTTGGAACCAATTGATGTCTTCAGTGGATGACTGAATAATAAACCATGGAGTTTTCAGACAAGGCCATATTCACCACAGGAATTCTCTCACAAGCCTGATCGATGTGGAGGAACCTGAATTGTGTCACACTGGGTGAAAGAAGGCAGGCTGAAAAGCTGTGCACTGTAGGATGCCAACTGTGAAACAGATCTTAAGGACTCTTAAAGATCAGTGTGCTTAAGCTTAAATTAGCTGGGCATGGTATACACACCTATAGTCAGAGGCAGGTGGGTCCCTCAGTTCAAGACCAGCCTGGTCTACACAGTGAGTTCTGGACAGCCAGGGCTACACAGAGAAATCCTGTCTTCAAAAACCAGAAAATTAAAATTTGTGCTTGTTTATATTGAGACGGCCTAGGCTGGCTGGAAGCCCTCATTTCTTCCTGTGCCCTAGGAGTGTTGGAATTACAGGAGTATACCACATTTGGATTTGTACATCTCTATATTACGTTAATCTAAAAAAAAAAAGGTGGTAGGATGCTTTATTATGTTTTATTTGTGGACAGGATATCACTGTATAAGCCAGGGTAGCCTCATAATCATGTCTACCCTTCTGCCTCAGCCATGGAATATTTTGTTTTGTGTGTGCTTTGTTTTTTGTTTTGTTTTGAGACAGGGTTTCTCTGAGTATCCCTGGCTGTCCTGGAACTAACTCATTTTGTAGATCAGGCTGACCTTGAACTCAGACATCTGCCTCCCCAGTCTTTCAAGTACAGGCATTAAAGACATACACCTCCACCGCCAGCTTGTTTTTTGTTTTTAAACACACGATTTCTTATTATTTAGGGTGGCTTTGAACACCTGATCCTCCTGCTTCTATCTCCAAAATGCTGCTTTATTAAAAAATTTTCCCCATCCATTTCTGTTTTGACAGTTTTGAGTCCTTGATTTTAAATTCCCATTGACTCAGAGTCTTAATCATATGACCTAAATCAAGGTGATACTACAATGTATCTGACCAATGGTCCAGTCATGGACATTTTATAAAGTAATGAAGACACACATGTTCTGGTTAGTGCTGGACATATACCATTACATATGCTTGTGTCATTTCAGACCTTTTATTATTATTATTATTGTTGTTGTTGTTATTATTTTGAGACAGGGTCTCTAGGCAGCCCTGACAATGTAGACCAGGCTGGTGTGTGTGTGTGTGTGTGTGTGTGTGTGTGTGTGTGTGTGTGTGTATAGTTTGCTGGCCTTTGCCTCCTGAGGACTGAGATTAACGGTGTGTACTAGCATGTAAGCAAGCTGAGAATGTAAATTTTTTTCTCTGAATTGCACACCAAACTTTGAGGTGTTGTATTTTAAGCTGAATTTGTGAGATATGTTACAGTAGAAACGGTAAATAACAGCAATCTCATCTTAGCACTCACTATTTGCATTGAAAATTTCAGTGTGCTCTATGGACCATGTGCGACTATGGATGCCTGAAGCACTTGAACTGCAGCTTGGGAAGACGCAGACACCTAAATGCTGGGCTGGATTAAGTGCCTGCTGAGGATGGTGATTGAGCGAGTTGGGGTCAGCATGCAGTCGGTGAGTGTTCACAGTCCATCCTGAAACTCTAGACGACGCTTCTGTTCTCAGGCTTTCCTGAGAAAATGATGCCAACTTTAACAACATTTGCATTTATTGCTTGTGTTCTTTGATTGATTACTATTTAAATCACAGAAGTGGGTCTGTTCCTAGCACAGTGAGGCAGTGACTTCCTAGGTTATGCTCAAAACTTACTATTGTAAACTGGGTAGTGGTGGCACACACCTTTAATCCCGGCAGGCATATCTCTGTGAGTTCGAGGCCAACCTGGTCTACAGAGTGAGTTCCAGGACAGCTAGGACTGTTACACAGAGAAACCCTGTCTCAAAAACAACGACAAAAAATCCCCAAAACTAACTTATTTTAATTACAAGACCTTAAAAAAATATACTCATTAATGAAGGATTAAATCTACAGGGAATCACTGATTGGCTTGGCAGTTCATAACATTGAATGTTTTTAAGTTAATGTTAAATATTGTCAGAAAATGATGAGAATGTTTTCCTAAAATGTGACAATAGCTAAAGAGAATATTTAGCCTATTATTCTGTGCCATAGAGTTTTTTTTTAAGAAAAGAAAGATAAGGTTTATTTTATAAAGGTTATGATTTTATTATTTTTTTTCTCTTTAATATATTCAAGGTCTTAGTATGTAGCCCTGACTCTCCTGGAAGTTAATGTGTAGACCATGCTGGCCTCTGATTCGGAGATTTTCATCTCTGAATAAGAATCGTTGCCAGTATAGTTACCATGGATTAGATGGCATTCTGTCTTGATAGGGCAGCAAGGGAATGAAGAAAGTGTAGACTCACATACAACGAAACTAGGATCAGGTGGTTAACATGCATTGTGTATTTTCTCAAGGACTTGGCGTGAGCATGTATTTTATTTAATGCTTGAAAGTTTCCTGGAAGCCCAAACTGTCCTTATCCTTTACCTATTTATCTGCATCCTCACTTTTTAAACATTTAAACCCCCCCCCCCCCATTCATTGTGCATATATACAAGCTTTAGAGAAACTTCAGGAGTTGGTTCTTCCAGTATGCATGTTTCAAGGATGGAACTAGGCTTGGCACCTAGTGTCTTTACCTGCTGAGCCATCTTGCTGGATGGAGTCTGTGTCTGTCTGAAGAAATGTGTGTGTGTGTGTGTGTGTGTGTGTGTGTGTGTGTGCTTATTTGCTGACTTGGACATTGGACTTAGGGCCTGGCACTTGCTAGGCATGTGCTTTACCACTGAATTGCATTTCTATCTTCCAGCTCTTTGTATGATGTGTGTGGCACATGTTGAAGGTCAAAGTTGTGGGTATCATGCCTTTAACTGTTGAACCTTTGCACCAGCAACTTCCTCCATCCCTTAAGAAAAATGTTATACAGTAGTGTCTCAGGAAGCTGCCTAGGCTGTCCTTGAATTTTCAGTTGTGCTCCTGTGTAACTGGGATTACAAGTCAAATCACCAGGCCTCACTTAGCCCTGTGCTTTAGTGGAGACAGTGGCAATGCTGTTAACAGCCATGCACTACTAGTTTGGTATGCCCCCATGCTCAGTTCCCATGACTTACATAGACCGAGCATTCAGACTGTTTCTCAGTGTAGATGAGAAACTGGATTTTACAGCCTTGCTACCTTGTCCAGTTACCTGAGGTAGAGCCTTCCTCTTTAGTATACTTTGGAACACTAAAAGTGGAAGCAAACCTTAGTTCATTTAATATTCATAAGCTCATGAAATAGTACCCATTCTATAGATGAGAAAATAAAAGTATAAAGGATAATTATTTGAGCTGTCTGTAGACAACCAATTGGCAGATCCTGCTTTTAAAGCCCAGGTTTTATGCTACTCTAGACTGCCATCTCTTCATGGCCTCCATGTTGCTTTGTTCTTTCATGCCCTCCCTCTTCTTCCTCCCTCCCTTCCTTCCTCCTAACAGGGCCTCACTGGCCTTGACCTCCTTGGAATCCTGGGATTAAAGATATGTGCCTGCCTGGCTCAACCTTTTTTTTTTTTTTTTTTTGGAATGTTTTGTTTTTGTGTGCATTGGGTGTTTTGCCTGCGTGTATGTCTGTACATCATTTTGTGCTTGGTGCCAAGGAGATCAGAAGAGGCTATCAGATCTCCCAGAACTGGAGTTAGAGACCATTGTTTGTGAGCCTCCTTGTGAGTCTTGGGAATTCAACCCAGGTCCCCTGGAAGTACAGCTAACCATGTTAACTGCTGAGCGAGCCCTCTCTCCAGCTCTTCAACATTTTTTTAAACGTGTGTGTGTGTGTGTGTGTGTGTGTGTGTGTGTGTGTGTGTGTGTGTACACTACAGCATGTGTATTTAAATTAGAGGACAACCCTAATTGGAGAAAGGAAAGAAAAGAGGCAAACTCTAGCCAGCAAGATGGCTCAGCAGGTGAAGACACTTGGTGCCAAGCCTCATGGCCTGAGTTCTATCCTTGGAACCCACACAGTGGGTGAAAGTCTTGTAGGTCTCCTTGCAATGACTCCTGTAAGTCTCTGCCATGCTTGAACACACACACACACACACACACACACACACACACACACACACACACACACAGTTTAGAATTTAAATTAGAGGAGTGAGTTTTCTCCTTCCACAGTGTGGGTTCTGGGTATTGCACTCAGGTTGTCAGGCTTAGCTATTGTTTTCTTTACCTGCTGAGCATCTCATTAGCCATACTTCAACATTTGTTTGTACTTCAAACATATTCTTAATGTTTGAATTTTTTCTCAGCCCTCTATGTTTTGTCCTTAAGTGGAAATTTCAAAATTTGTGTTTAGATAGACTTTTTTGAGACAGTCTTAACTATGTAGCCCATGCTGGGCATGAACTCAAGATTCCCCCATCTCGGTCTCTAGAGTGATGGTGTTACACCATGCCTGGAACTGATCCCAGCAATTTCTGTTTGAAAATTTATAGGCAGTATGTAATTTGTATTAGCAGTCTATTAATACACATTAATCATCTGTGTTTCATTTTGTTCTTTGGAGGAAGAGTATAAAGGAGTAAGTGGGTAAAGCTGAGAGAAGCCTACTCCTCAGTGAGGAATTCTGCTATCTTTCATATGTGTGGTTGTGCGGTGTGTGTGTGTACAGGGGTTTGTGTGTGGAAGCACACTTTAGTTTTCCTTGTCTCCTTTGGAATTAGGAGTATATATTTATTGGATCTCCTTAGACATTGTGATTAATGATATGGGTTTCCCCCAAAATGTCACATGCACATGTTGATTTACAAATAATTTCAGGGATATCTCTGAGACTCAAGCTGTATCATATTGATGGAATACTAGAATGAAGCTTATTGTTTGACTAATATTTTCTTTCAGTTAATAATATAGACTCGTTTCTAATGGATTCCTGTATTGAGCAGAGACAGATGACAGCTTCAAACTCTAGCTTTGAACGTCAACACTTCTACACTACCATTTCACAATGTGAAAAAGAACAAATTGCTTTCCTGTTGTCTCTTCCTTGCTGTCATCACTTTCAAACACTGTTGCTAAGTGTTATGGACTGTCAATACAAGACATAGATAGGCATGCACAAATACCGGATACAGAAGATTATTTTTAAGCATTTTTTTTTTGTAGAGAAAGCAATGTATAGCTCTCTTTAGAAGTGAATTGACTGATTTATTAATTAGATCAAATATTCTAGTAGTGACGGTTTTCTTCTTGCTTCTCTTACATCTGAAACAAATCTGATGACAGTTTCTCTCTAGAGAGAGTCTGCCCTTCTCCAAACCAGGATTCTGACAAGCCCAGTTCAGCCACAAGGTAGGGGAGGAGATACACTTGGGTCATGCAGCCCCCAGTGCACAGATGGTGACTTTTCAGTACCATCTGTTCACTGTTTCTTCCCAGCCATTTACAATTTCTTCCCCACTGTGAGGGCTGTATTAAAACAAAACAAAACCAAACCAAAAAATAAGAAAACCCAATAACAACAAAAAACAAATGTAAGGACCTGGCATATCAGACTTCCTGGAAGCTAGCTGTTCTTTCCTTTCATTTCTTATCCCCTAATGGAGGCTGCGAGTCTTCTTTTCTAGTCACATTAAGTAAGCATTGGGCAGTGCACAAGGATCAGAAGAGCAGTGTTATATTAGCTATTGTGTATGCTTAAAAAATGACAGGAAGCAATCTGTTCTAACTTTGTAGGCAAAACCTAAACAGTTTACTTATTCCTTATAATTAACATCTGAGTCACTGGCCACTTCTCTTCCCAAAAGCAGCTGGCATTCCTTGCCCCTGGTACTAAGCAGATGGGAAGGTGCTGGTGAGGGTTGCTGAGTCTGGCAGAAGTCCTGGCTCCTGACCTGGGCAGGTCCTTTCTCTGAGTTTTTCTTTGTGAACTATTTGTCCTCTGAGCAGGAACTTGTTTCCTAGCGAGGTGGAGGTTCACTTCAGACTAGGTAATTGTCACATTATGATGCACAAATAACATTCCATTTTTCCTACATCATAGTAGAGTTTTGGCTTGTGACCAAATGGGGGGGGGGGGATTGGACAAGAAATGACTGAGTGGTGTGGGTACCACTGCCCAATGGGTTTTGTTTTGAAAGATCAAGGCCTTTTATAATGTACAAGGTAAACGTTAGCATAGTGACTGTTTTATACTGACTCTGTCCTGGTGATCCCTTTGTTGCTCTGAAGAACTGAGAACTGTTTCCTCTGTGAGAAGTCCCTCTTCCACACAGTGAACAAAGACTGCTAATGGCCCTCTGTAATCTTTGGGACCTTGGATACTTGGCCTTAAGCTTGGGTACTTCTGCCTCTTAAATTTTTTGGTTAATTTAATTCATATTTTAATTGTCTGCTCATCCAAATTTCCAAATTGTGCTATCAGTTCTACTTGCATTTATAAAGAAAGAATTCCAGGTTTTGTTGACTGAATTCTCCCAGGTTAAGAGTTAGTAAAACCAGGAGCCATATATGATAGAAAGACTTTAAAAAAGTTGAGGCAGATGCCTGAAAGGGGTACCATATGTACCCCCTAAACCTCACTTTGACTCATACATTATATATATATGTATGTATGTATGTATACACACACACACACACAAAATGGGACTTGATTCTAATACATGTTTAGAGAATGGTGTGAGATGTAGTTTGGGTTAGTGTTAAAGCCACCCCAGTGAATGGAAGCCAACTGCTTGCTGTTCATAAAATTCCATTAGGTTAATTAGTATTCATAATTACATTACTATATATTAGCATCATTTATTTCTTTAAATTAGAATTTTGGCTGACCTTAAAAAGGGAACTGTGTCCATTTTTATCCGATTGTGTCTATTTAGTATTAAAAGATGATTGAATGTGAGAGTTTGAATTAAGTGTGACTGGTTTTTCTTTGCAGATGGCGTCATACTGTACTGCACTCGTTAGCCCTCTGTCTAGGCTTTCAGATGTAGCACTCACCAGACACAGGTTTTCTGTGTAAGAGAAGATAAGGTTCCGAGTTTGGAGTGACTTAGCATTTATGTGCCTGGGCCTTGCTTATGGAGTTTTTAAATATATTCCAGGACATTGAATTCTCTCACCAGAGATGGCAGTTTCTCACTCACATTTCATTTCTATAAGAATTAAAGGCAAGACCCTTCAAGAAGGTGCCAGTACGACTGGGTTTATCCCCACTAATGTTTGGTCTGTCACTTTTTGTGTAGCAGATGACATTCATGACACAAAATCACTCCTCAAGCTTCATATTAATTTTGTATTTAATTTGAAAAGTCACCAAGCAAAAGTGTGTCTCATGTTTCCAAAGTTTGAAGTTTTTAAAAACTCTAAAATTAAAACTAGGGTAGAACAGTTACAGCCTTTCCTCTGTAGATAGCTTGTACTCCCTGTACAGTATTATTAAGTTTGCTAGAGGATATTATTGGGCAGGTGGAGGAGCACTTGCTGCCCAAGGGAGGTATCTTGAGCCTGCTCCCCAGAACTTGGGGAAAGTAGCAGGAGAGGAGACCCAACAAAGCTGTTCTCTCCACATGCAAGCCAATACACATCCATCTGAGCCCACATGCAAACACACACACACACACACACACACACACACACACTGTTCCGTATTTCTATATAGTCTCTTATATGAAGCTTTATCTCTTTAATACTTAGTGTCTGTCTGTCTAGCTAGCTATCCTTTCAATTTTGAGTTGAGAAATACTAGCTGATTTCCTAGAATGTTTAGAATATTCTGATACTGTGATTAATGTGTTAGCATGTACTCAGTAGGTCACTATATTGTACTAACAGTTTGAGAACTTTTGTAAATGTTTGGTTTCCCTATTTCCTTAGGTACTTTGGTCTGGAAAACCATATGGTTCATCTCGAAGTATCGTAAGAAAAATTGGTACCAACTTATCTCTGATTCAGTGCCCAAGAGTTCAATTTCAGGTACAGTGTTTTCCAGATTTCCATGGTGATGTGTGCCTTAGAAAAGCGAATGGGTATGGTGTTTTAGAAGTACTGAATTGTTTTTGAGGCATTCTCCTATCAGTAACACCGAAACAGAGAGGATTAACAGCCAAGGTCTTTCTAATTTTAGTTCTTCTGAAGTGATTATTCCAGATCCTTAAACATTTATCCTCCTTGAGATGCCTAGGGGAAGCTTGGGAAGACAATTGTTAATTCCTAGGTGACCTTGAACCTATTTGGCCTTTGGATGGTTATTTAATATTTTGTCGTCATTAGCTACTCTGGTCCTAAAGAAGTATTTTTTCTTTGTTACTGTTTTTGTTTTGTGGTGATTAGGGTTGACCCAAGGGCCTCAGGTGTGATAGGAAAATACTCTACCTTTTGCACTTACAAATGTTTCTTGGGGACAAGAAGACACCAAGCATAATGAGTTTGATCCCCAGAACCGTTGTGGAGAAAAGTGACTCTTAAAGTTGTGTGTGTGGGTGTGGGTGTGTGTGTGTGCGTGCGCGCGCGCGCGCGCACACACACACACACACACACACACAGAATAAATAAATAAATGTAAAAATCACAAGTGTTTCCTCCCTGGCAGTAAGTGTCTCTTCATCACTGTGAAGACTGTGAAGGTTTGTGTTTTTACGGATTTCTCAGTTGTATGAAGTAAAAACAAAAGAGCTATGTATACATGCACTCCTTTATCCCAGCACTTTAGAGGATGAGGTGGGAGGGTCAGAAATTACATGCTAACCTGGGCTACATAATGATGCCATGACCATATTTCTGTAACAAAAATGGAAATAAAAACAAACCCTGGAATGGAAATGTGGGTTTTTAATGTTTTAACCTTAAGAACAGGTGATCACAAACACTAACATAATTTAGAATAACTTGGGTGGGAGTTGATGGTAGGATGGATAGTTTGAATTCTACCTTTTGCAATTGACAGACCTCTGAGTAATTCAATCTTAAATATTCTTCCTGGTAATTCTGACTGTTTTCTTGCATTTTGAGGAGTGGTTGTTTTTCTTTTTCTTTCTTTTTTTTTTTTTTTTTTGAATTGGAAAAGTTCTGTAATTACACAAGTAATAAATTATATTTCCACTACAGGTCACCTGTCAGTCTGAAAGCAGAATGGTTACTTAAAGAAAATGGCCCATTTTTCTCTGACAAACTGGAAGTTTGTACTTTTTGCTAGGTGTTGGTTTTCTCCTAGAGAGACACTAAACAAGCAAATACCTTAACAAACCTAGGGTTAGGATTAGGATTAGAAATGTCTACAAAAGACACCCAACCATATGTGGGGAGCATTAGCAGAGTTAGAGTAGGTAAACCATGTTAGGTACTACAAAGTAATCCGGAGATGAATGGTTAAAGCATGTTGGTGGATGTGGGCACAATACATATAAATGCATGAGCCATTTTAGAGCAAGTACCCAAGCTTGTGTGTTTTTTATGTATAGGAAGGTGTCCTGGAAATCAGTCCACCATGGACACCAAGCATTTTGCTGAATCCATTTCTCAGAATAGTTTTACATTGTCAGAATATTTTAAATTAGTCAAGAGTGTTGTAAGATGCTAAGATATTACAGAGTTTTGGGTTACTGTTTTTTTTTTTTTTCAAATCAAATTCAAAATGAATTTCTTAAACACTTTAAAACTGTGCTGCCTACTTCCATTTTCTGCCTTTACTCTTTAATCTTTTCTGCCAACTGTAGCTTTGACAGGACAGGACCTTCCTTCAAGTTAACAGTAAGTCCTTTGTTTTCAGACGTCTCATGCGTGCGTGCGTGCATGCCCATGGCAGTGATGTCTAAATCATGCTTGAAGAACTTGGCCTCCGGCCCCTTGCCAGTGCCCACTTCTCCTTGACCTGTACTCCCCTTGAGCTGTCCTGGAAGTCGCCTTTCCCATGCCACACTTATGTAACTCAGTGGTGGTTCTTTTCAAGCAGTACATGAAATGGCGTTTTAAAAGTTTGGGGTCAGTTTTCTTTTGAACTGGATCTGACTTGAGTGTGTGGGGCAGCTTGTATTGGAGAGCATATCAGATGAAGATGGTAGAGACAGGTCTTGACTGCTGTGTTGCCATTTCCATATCATTGATCACGTGGCATGTGTTCATATACATGGTATAGTCTTGCAGCATAATAAATATTTAAATAAGCCCCGGGAAGTGATATATTTTTGGTCTTCTGCATTTATACTTTAAAACTATTTGTGTGTGTTTCAGCGTTAGTGCATGCATGCATGTTCTGTGGAAAGCATGGAGATCAGAGGATAACTTTCAGGAGTCTTTTTTTTTTTTTTTTTTTTTTTGTGAGTCTCAGGGATCGAACTCAGACATAAAATTAGAAACATTTTTTGATCCATAATCATCATTTATAGAACCCTGAAAATTAGATTTACATGTGGCCTGTTGTTGTTTGGAGTAAGGTCTGACTGCATAGCCAAGACTGGACTTGACTCCATGATCCTCTCCCCTTACTGCCGAGTGTTAGGGTTGTAGGCATTCACCACCATGTGCTGACTCAGGTCTGTGCTTTCCTGACACCCCCCCCCCCCCAACTGTCTGTCCCTCATCACATATCCCAGGCTGGCCTCGAACTTTGTATGTCATTGAGGATGGGTTCTGCTCCTCTGCTTCCGCCCTCCATCATGCTCCTATGTGTCCCACATGCTAGGCAAGTACACATTGTTAAGACAGCCAGCATGTGTCAGATAAAATCTACTTTTCTATAAAAAGTTACAGATTTTTCAGCCTTCCTCCCAAATAAAGCATAGCTAAAGACACAGACTTACAGGGTGTGTGGAGCCCCGTGTTTACAGAAAGATGGTCCAAATAGATACCGGACAGTTCCCAGTATAGTGTTTCTGGTGAATGTGTTAGGAAGTCTTTTTGGCGTTTTTTGCTTCTTTTTCTTCAATTATAAATCGAGTTGACTTGTTTGTTTCTTTGTATTATTTCTTTTCTTCCTTTTGATGCATTGGGGACTGCACTTAGGATTTTGGCACGCTAGACAAGCACTCCACAGCTGACCTAGTTCCTCAGTCCCTCTCAGCTTCATTTTTAGGAAGTTAATGAGCTAACTCCCTCGCCCATCTCAACTTCATTTCTACATGTCCATTTGGAAACTTTAAATTGTTAATCGCTGACCTTCTGACGCTGACATGTAGTATGTGAAATGTAGACTAAATTTAATTCAGTTAAATTGTTTTTCCCTCAGATATAATTTAGAATACTCTTTGGTATTTCTTTCAAGATAGTTTTCCTTCACCCATATGTTAGTTTGGCCAGAGAATTTTCTTCTTCTGTGGTTTTTTTTTTTTTTTTTTTTTTAATAATAGTGCTAAAACTACTTTGCTACTTATCATTCAATTAAAATTTAAGAGATTTGAGGCATTTAAAAATTCACTTTTAGCCCTATTGTATTGTAACATGAGTATTGTAACTGTAACACCACTGTATTAGTTGCTTTTCTCATGACAATAATTAAGGAAGAAAAGGGTTTTTGTTTACAATAGGAGGGCAAGAGGCTTGGTGCTGATAGGTCAGGCAGTCAGAAAGCAGAGAAAAACTTGCTGGTACCCAGGTGGCTTCCATCTTAACCACATTTAGGATAGGTTTCTCTTCTCATTTGAACCAAGAGGCGTGTCTTCTGTTTTGTTAAAGACAGTCATGCTGTGTATTCATGGCAGGCCTGGAACTCACTTTGTAGAGCAGGTTGGCCCTGGACACTGAGATGCAACTGCTTCTGCCTCCCAGTTATTCAGGGTGATCAGGTTGAGAATATTAACCGTCACTATCACTAGTGCACATAGTATTCACTACAGGGGCCTTCCACACTTGTTTCAGTAAGTCTTTTCAGGAAACGGTGGCACCCTTTTTAGTTTGTCTCTGCTGCTAGAGAGCTCAGGGCCTTAAGCATGCCATGCCCACTGCTAAAATACATTCCTAGCTCCAAATAAGATTTCTAAAACTTAGAACCTAAATGTTTTCTTAAGTTTGAATGCATGAAATGAAAGCATTATGATGTGAGAATTGGGTAGGGTTAAATTATAATTCAGAGTTTGTGACCAGAGCTTGGTAGCATGTGACATGACTAGTGAGTCCTTGCATGGAGGACTGCCTGCCTTGGAGCTTCAGCTTAGGCTGAGGGTGCCTCTTTGCTTTGCAGTTTTCTGTCAAAGTTTACAGATACAGGGCTTCTCTCTTTGTGACTTTCAGCTTACCAGCCATGCAACAGAATGGAGTCCCACCACCCCAGGAGAGGATGTGGTGGCGTCTTTTGCTGACGTTGGATGGGTAGCTGTAGAAGAAGGAGAGTGTTCCACAAGACTCAGGTTAGTGTGGATGGCTGCTGGGGCTCAGATGCAAAGTATTCCCTAGTCCATCTAAGAAAGCTACTCACTGAGCTCCAGAGAGCAGGCACAGTCAGGCAGTGGATACACGGGCACACTGGAGGAGATCCCGGGGGATGTCAGGGTCACTGGTAGTGTGAAAGTCTACTAAGTAGTGGAGAAAATCCCTGCATGATGAGAGGAATTAGCTTGGCTTCTTGGTAAGTGGGTACCAGAGCTAAATGTTGAGGGGCAGCAGAAGATAAACAGATGGGAAGGCTCTTTCTCAGAGAGTGGAAATTGTGTTTAAAGATCAGTCCGAGACACCTGAGACTGGCCCAAAATAAAGTAAAACCAAGCATGGCTTCTCTGTACATAAAGAATAATTGTCCTAGTTAAGATTACTGTTGTTATGAAACACCATGATCAAGACTGTCTTGAGGAGGAGAGGGTTTATCTCGCGAACACGTCCATATAATGGTTCATCATCACAAGCAGTGAGGGCAGGGGCTCATGCAGGGCAGGAGCCTGGAGGCAGGGGCTGAAGCAGAGGCCACTGAGTAGTAGTGCTGCTTATTGGCTTGTTCTTATGGCTTGCTCAGCTTTCTTTTTTAAAGAACCCAGGACCAGCAGCCCAGGGGTGGCCCTCTCCCATCAATCACTAAAAAAAAAAAAAATGCCCATAGGCTTGTCTACTTGATAGCCTACCTGAAGCAGTGATTCTCAGCCCATGGGTCGTGACCTCTTTGTAGGGTGAGCAACCCTTTCACAGGGGTTGCCTAAGACAATTGAAAAACACAGATGTTTACATTATGATTCATAACACTAGCAAAATGAGTTAAGAAGTAGCAACAAAAATAATTTTATGGTTGGGGTTTTAGGAAGGTTGAGAACCAGTGTTCGGGGCATTGCATCAAGCTGGCATAAAACACACCAGCTCAGTGGTAAAGTTAGGTAATGTCAGTACTTGGTACTTTACCTAGGGACCTGTACTTTTCTGCCTTCGAGTATGTGCGAGTGACATGAAGCAGGTACAACAAGAAGACGTCTCCCTGGCATAGTGGTGTGATGGAACGGTTGTAAAGAAACGTCACTGATGGGTTCTGCTTTTGATTAGCACCACTGTAGACAGTAAAGACTGGGGCAGTGCTGGCCTGTGGCTGGAGATGCTGACTTGTGTGGGTGTCTGCTCACGCTCGTGTCTCCTTAGCAGTCCTACGATGCCACCTTTATGTTTTCCTTGCAGGGCAGAGGTCAGATCCAAGTCTGCCCATGAGGAAGACCTTCCTTGCTTTGAGAAGCCCCCAAGCAAGAATGTTTCCTTACCAAACTTGTCTCAAGATGAGCCTTCCCCAAAGACAACACTGGCCAGTGAGGAAGCCTTGCAAAAAATCTCTGCACTCGAGAATGAGCTTGCTGCCCTTAGAGCACAGATTGCCAAGATTGTGACCCTGCAGGAGCAACAGAGTCTTGGCGCGGGTATGTTGTTCCTGTATTGGCTTGTTGTGACTATCCAGCAGGAAGGTAGGACAGTGTGAGATATTAGTGTTCTTCAGTCCATCTAGTGCAGAACCTGATGACGTGTATGTGTGTGTGTGTGTGTGTGTGTGTGTGTGTGTGTGTGTGTGAGAAATGCCCGCTGAAGTGTGCTGATGTGAATGGCTGCTTTATGGGAAATTAAGCTCCCTCCATCTGATAGTCACCTCTCTCAGATATGAGGACAACCAGTGGCTGTGGCTTTTTGTCTAGTGAAAGGAACCAGTTTCTGGGTGAGACTTGTGCTGAGTGCTGTTTACACGTGCATGGCCTGAGATAGACGTCTGTTATTTCCTGCTCTAAATTGGGTCTAACAGTACCTGTGTTAGTCCTGTGCCATTAAGTATGGAAAGTAAGAAAATGCACACAGTAAGTGCCCAATGGTTGCTCTCCTCCTCTTGTCCAGAGTGGAAATCAGATTCAAGCCTTCGGATCTAATACTGTTGCTTTAATTAGCATGCCACTTTTTCTATGGAGAACGGCCAATGGCCTTGAAATCCTAGCTTGCCGGTTGGTTTGGAAAGTAGTGGTTGTTTTTCTGTTGTTTCAGTCCTGGGGAGACTTTAAGTGCCTCTGACTGAGTCATGTTGGATGCCCCATGCAGTGCAGCATGCTGGGAAAGGTGCTTTGGGCACTGGGCACTTGAAGGTGAGGGGTGGCTTTTAGTGGTTTGCATAGATGTGTTTGCATATCAAGTTCTGGCTTTGTCTCTTTTTTTTTTTTTTTTTTTTTTTTTTTTTTTTTTTTTTTGACTTGGAACTGTTTTCTTTACCTCCCTCTGCTGGTAGACTAGGAAAACTATCATAAGTAGGAGATAACTGGAATTGGTTGAGATGTCTTAGTTGTAATCGGCATACTCCCAATAAAACTCTTAACACATAACTGTTGTCCCCAAACCCTCATCAATACAGTTCTGCAGGAGAGAAAGCTAACTTAGAGTTAGGTGAATTCTAGGCTTTTTATTTCTTTAACACTTACTTTTTTTTTTTGAAAATTAAGTGTAACTCTGTTTTGTGGGACACGGTTTTCTTCTGACTGGCCTAGAATTCATTATATAGATCAGGTTGACCTTGAGCTGGTGTGATCCTGCTTTGTACTCCCAAGAGCTGGGAGGATAGACATGTACCAAAGTACACAGGATGGTGCAAGTTTTTGTGATACCTGTAATAGTTGCAAATTGCTCGGCAGTGTATTGAGAACAGACGTTTTTGAGTATAGACTGCTTTATATTTTTACTGTGAGTGATTATGCTGTGTACCACAAACAGATGTGTGTGTAAAATCTCAAACCCACCTTTATTCATTTGAATGGGATGTTTCCATTGGGTGGGTCTGGGCCCAATGGAGTAGGAGATTGAGGCATTCCCCAGAGTCAGGGAACTGCACTGTCCCTCAGACTGGGATCCCTCTGAAGGGTAGTGCTTTTAGGAGTACAGAAGTCTGCTACATACTTTCGTTTCTTCCCTAGGTCACTTACATTCTTCCGCTGTGGCACCACCTCCTCCTCCCCCACCCCCACCACCTCCTCCCCCGCCTCCTCCCCCTGCACTCCACCAAAGTATGTCTGCCGTTGACCTGATTAAAGAGCGAAGAGAGCAAAGACTCAGTGCTGGAAAGACTTCCGCTAAGAGCCATCCAAAGCCGCCCGACATGCCAAATATGCTAGAGATCCTTAAAGACATGAACAGTGTGAAACTGCGGTCAGTCAAGAGGTGAGGTGGCCCCTTCACCCCTGCTCCCCATCTGCTTTGTAGGCCAGAATCCTGAGTCTCAGAAACGTTTACGGTGATTGCCGTGGACCTCAGGACAGCTCCTGTGTGGAGAGCAGCCAAGGGCAGGCGAAGGCTGTGCCTTAGGCAGGCTTCTCATTTCCACCAAGTCACATCCTCTAGTCCAGGCTGACCTTGAACTCCCAGAGACCTGCCTGCTCTGACTCCCTCCTGAGTGCTGGGCTTAAAGGCCTGCACCTTCTCTCCCTGGTTGTAAACTCATTTCTTTAAAGCTCACCCATTTAAAGAAAAGGTTTCGTATGTGTGTGGAGGTCGGAAGACAGCTTGTGGGAGTTGGTTCTTGCCTTCCATGTGAGTCTTGGAGATTAAATCAAGTCATCAGTCTTGGTGGCAGGTACTTGCTGAGCCATCTCAGTAGCCCACACGTAGCTTCTTTATTGTGAATGCTCAGTGAAGGCATGTCACTGCCCCTCTCCTAGAGGCAGTGCACACTCGAGGATGGAGCCTGGCCATCCCAAGTGGCTGCATCTGACTGCATTCTCTTGCTGAGCTGTGAAGTTCAGTGCTGCTCCCTGCTGCCAGCAGTGGCTGGCTCACCAAGTAACTGGCGTCCACAGAGAGCCTCTGAGGGAAATTCACTTACTGACTTGTCCCCTTGGTGTCTGCTCCCTTCTCAAAGGTCAGAGAAAGATGTAAAGCCTAGGCCAGTGGATATTACTGACCCTGCTGCCCTCATAGCAGAGGCCCTGAAAAAGAAGTTCGCTTATCGGTATCAACACACTAGCCCAGGGGAAGTGGAAAGAGGGATTCCAAAGTCAGAGTCAGAGGCCACCTCAGAGCCCGTCCTGGTGAGTATTAGCATATTTGTATTCAAGTCCCCCATGTGAGTCCCCAGTGGTGTGCCGGGCCCTGTTTTCTACCTACGTGGAGATTGGAGACGTGAAATCCAGGCTGGCCGTACCTTAGTATGTAGCAAGGCAGGCTTAAACCCCAGTCTTACTACGGCCACCTCCATGTGCTGGGATTAAAGTAGCTGTGCCACCGTGCCCTGCTTTTGTATTTCTACTTTTCCCAAAAGCCACAGAGAAGAGAAAAAGCAAGGGCTCCCCTTACTTTCCTTGCAGCCTTTTATTTGTATTTAAGAATATGAAGGGAAATTCAACCTGATAACATTTTCATTATGACAGTGTTTGTATTCAATTTTAAAATATTTATATGTACATTGGTGTGAGGGTTTCAGATCCCCTGGAACTGGAGTTACAGTTGTGAGCTGCCATGTGGGTGCTGGGAATTGAATCCCGGTCCTCTCGAAGAGAGCTAGTGCAGCTGAGCCATCTCTACAGCCCCTGTCTTCAAAATTAAAGAAGATCATGTTCTCCCAGGGGCACCCTGCGACTTTTCCCAGTGAGAGCGACCATGGACTTGGAAGATGTGTGCCACACACATATTCCCAGAGACTGAGCAGACAGCTCGGCACTAATGTCTTTCTGTCCATTGTTTGCATGAAGATAGCATGCTGCTCTATCTTATGCTTCCTTTTTTCTTTTCTTTTCCAGTTTGGCCCACATATATTGAAGTCTACAGGGAAAATGAAGGCTTTAATTGAGAATGTTCCAGACTCCTAATGGACAATGGGTTCAGAAAGACTCCTGGTTCACTGCTGGCTTGCACAGCTGAGTTTGGCAGCAGAGATCACCAGTATTTAGTAAATCCCTGACTGTAGTGGCCATTGGTCTCCTTCTTAGCCTAATTAGAGGAGTGACAAGTAGTGACATCACCAGAGTTGGTTTGGCTCTTAAGAGACGGTCAGTTCTGGAGCTCTCCTTAACATATGTGTGTTATGATAAGTTTTTAATAGGTAGCCAGGGTTCATCTTCCAGCCTTGAAAATGTCTGTACAGCTTCTAATACAGACAGGCCATTTGTGGATGTTGCCATGCATTTTCAGTTCTCAACACTAATATCTGTGCAAATGTTTTATCTGCACACATTTGGATATAAAACAGCATGTAAAAACTCAACGAGGACACTATTATCTTCACCTTTGCTTGAGTTTGCTGGCCAGGGATGGGACAGCTAGTTTACCCTGTTACTAGAGTACAGTATTGGATATGGGAATGCCTCGATTAAGACTTACATATGGTCTCACATTTTATTTTCCTCCTGGAGCTGAGTTTACATAAGCAGCAGAAGATGTTTACTGTTGAGTTTCCATGTTGCTTTCTATTAGAGGGACGCAAGGGCCGGAAGGTGCTTAACCCTCACTACCACCCAGTTATTGGGAAGCAAATGTACTTCTCAAGTAGTAACAAATTGAATTACTGAATTGAATTACTTTTTAAATAAAAGCCAGAATGTATCATCTTTCCTTTCAGTTTAATGAATGGCCTCACAAAGATGATTTATTGCTAACACTTGTCTAAGTTTACTATTGCCATGATGAAACACCATGACCAAGAACAACTTGGGGAGGAAAGGATTTCACTCACAGTTACCTTTAACTGTTCGTCAAAAGCAGTGAGGACAGAAATTCAAGCAGGGCAGGAACCTGGAGGCAGGAGCGATGCAGAGACCGTGGAGGTGTCCTGTGGAGATGTCCTGTTTACTGGCTTGCTCAGCCTGGTTTCTTATGAAACCCAGGACCACCTGCCCAGGGATGCCATCACCCACAATGGGCTGGGCCCTCTTCCATCAATTGCTAAATAAGAAAATGCCTTACAGCTGGATCTTATGGAAGTATTTTCCCAGTTGAGGTCTCCTCCTTTCAGATGACTCTAGCTTGTGTCAAGCTCACATAAGACTAGCCAGCACAATACAAAATGTCAACATAACTAAATTTATAAATCTTAACTAGTAGTCAAAATATCCTTTATAATGAGACATTACTGACTAGGTGAGAAAATTCCCTTTAAAGTGTTTTATCATTGGCCAGCCGATGAATTATACAGATAAACCTGGGGTGTCATTAGAAAGCTGAAGCTGCCTTTATTATCTGGGGCTTGAAAGGACTTGTTATAATTTACTTAATAAGTTTTCATGATTTCTGTGTAATGTCAGAATCTCTTACTATGAGGAAATATTTGGATTATTTAAAATCTATTGACTAGTTCTTCCCAGGATAATTGAGATGGGAAGTGTAGATAGGTATTTAAGTTATTGAAAATGTGTTCTAAATCTTGAAGATTACGCTGTTTTTCATAGTTTATTTAGTTTCAATGGCGCTATGTTGTTGATGTATGTTGTTTCTAAATGTTTTATATAGTTTGGAAACTGTCTTTTATGAGATTCAGAAAATTCACCTGACCACATATTTTGACCTAATAAATTTATATCAGTATTGAATTTGGCTAGTATTCCAATATATGAAAGTTATTATTTTAAAATAAAGCAAGCTATTGAATTTTCTTTTGACTATACTATTATGTTTGTACATTTATGTCCCTTCTCTTTCCTTTCCTTGTCTTTTTTTTTTTTTTTTTTGTAGCTGTCATCCTTTGTGCTGACATGTTGCTTTAGGATAACTTCTAATGTGTTTTTTAGCAGTGAATACATTCCTTAATGAGCTGTTATCTGTCCACTTTTCCTCATAAGACTAGTTTTAATGTGGGACAGCCACCCCAGGAGGCCTGAATGAAACACAGCATACAGAAGGAAAGAGTTCTAAACGTAGATGAACTGTGTATCTGATAGCGTTGTAGTGACAGTTTCATAGATGTGACAGAGCACTGGACTTGGAGCCGCACATGATGGCAGCGAAGTGAATTTATTCTGGAATCATTGAGAGTCCTGCCTCAAAGACAAGATTTAAACTCTTCATTGTGTGAGCCATTCTTAGCCCTCTCTAGATTCTTACTGGATACTCTGGAAACCCTGTAAGGAGGCTCGCCCTTCACTGGTCTTAGTGGTACCTTGAGAACAAACAGAACAACAAAAACACCATAGTGAAGTAAAGACCCGCATCTTCTTCCAGAGGGAGCTGTCACCCTAGGACGAAGAGTTGCCTCTCTAGCTAGAAGTTGTAAACATGGTTTTCTGATAGATTCTCTAGCTTCTTGCTCCAACAGTCAGACGGCCTTTCTGATTAGAGCAGAAGAAGGGTGTAGTTTCAATATTTTCAGGGTTAGGGTGAGGTAGCACTTCCCATTTCAGTCCAAGTGCTCATGATAGGGGAGCCCTGATTACTTCATGCTAAAAAGTCACAATTTAAGGACAAAGGCCACTTTCACAATGTTTTTTTACCTAAGGTATAACATGTCTGCCTTGGTTGCCCAATAGCCATCCCTGTTTATTGACCAAGTGTATAAAGGTTTATACCCAGGGGATTTTGTATTAGAAACCAGTATCTTAAGGGAGGAAAAAGGCCTCAAGTAAAGTTAGGATGTCATTCTGAAATACTGCTTTTGGCAACAGAGCATACAGGTTATGTGCAGAACAGAACAAGGGTCATGTTAACCAGATGGTTCTTGTCCTCTGCCCTCCCTGACACATGGAACACAGGCACCTGACTAAGCCATTATATTCAGACTCCTCCCAGAGATCTGAATAGGAAACTTCAACACCTTAAGGGTGTCATGAGGAATAATGGATAATAAGAAAGGACTTAAACCCAGGTCTGCCATGCTGGGGACACTAATCTAAAAACCACACTATACACAGTCCTGCACCCTAAGGAGAAACTGAGGCAGAGGAAAGAAAACAGGAACCAAGGGCTAGGCGAAGCTCCCAGGATGGCCGAATTCCATTCCATGTCTCAAGTTCAGCTTTGTAAAACTGGCCTCCACTGCAACACAGAAGTCTATGTTTAGAAACCCAGTTACCTGGACTAATGTGTTCACTATAACAGAAACACACATTTAGGCTCTTCCTGTTCTTATGATTCCCAGATGGAAAGTCCAGTTTCTGTCAATGTTCAGTTTGTGTGACAGAGAACCTTTTGCATGGCAGACAAGAGTTATACCATCAAGCTGTATCCTGCACCTAGGAACTTGGAGCAGTTAATAAATGCACATTTATGTAAAACCTTAACCCTTATGCAAGCCCTAATTCATTAAAGGAATGGGTTATGTCCAAGGATGGAGACCCCATAGTGGGATCAGGGTTCTTCTAAGAGTAAGAAAGTTAGCCCTTTCTCCTACAGGCCATTTGAGGACATACAAAGTTAGCAAGTCTGCAAGCTGTGGAGGAGGACCCTTTTGGAACAGCCATCCTGGCACCCGATCACCCTCATTTCCAGTCTGTGAGGGATCTATGCTACGGCACCTGAAGTAAACCGATAGACTTTGATGTTTCCTTCAAAACTTTATAATTTGTATAAATTTAAGATAAAAACTGATACCATTATAGTTTTCTGAAAAATTTTATGACATATCCCAACAGTGAAGAAATACTTAAACTTTACACACACACACACACACACACGCACGCACGCACACGCATGCACACACACGCACACACGTGTGCACACACACGCACACAGGAGAGGTGGGGAGTGAAGGGAGGGAGAGCTTAAAAGACAAGTACAAAATGGAATTCTTTTAACAGAGACTACTGAATCAACTGAAAGTCACATATTACTAAGTCAGCACATTTCATTTTTAAGTTCACAGCCAACAAGAAGCTGAATATTGAAAATAATGGTGTTTCTCTTTCCCCTTCTATAATTTAACCAGATTCTGAAGATGGAGTCGAGGGTAACGTATAAAACTTAGGCATGAAAGTTTAAAATGCAATTGGTAAAGTCATTATTTTACTCAGAATATAATTTTGAATGCTTAAAATTGTATTTTATAATCTAATTTGAATGGTGAGTGAATTAGATATTAAGAGATAAGAATGTATTTCATCATTAAGCCAGTCTCTCAAGACCCTTCGTATACAATTCTGAAAGCTAACTACATTTTCTTTCACAGCACTTTGAAGGAGACCCTGGCATGTAACTTTTAATGCTCTTTAAGATTTTCACACCAGTGCCATGTTCTGCATGCAACAGGAACTAGACATTATTTAATACACAACTTCAAAACCACCAAACCACTTTGGGCAAATTTGGTGTCAATGCTCTGATAGCTAAAGGGTAGACTCCACAGTAATCGGTTTACCATGCCCTAGTTTATATCTATATCCACCCCACTCCATGCACACAGAAGAACCTGAGAGACGCTTTATGTTTCTGTTGGCTCATCCCCGTGTAACCGACACTGTGGTGGTTGTTACTCATCCTGAATGAAGACCATGGGCCCTTGGGGGTCTTCCCAGTGCCAGGCAGGTTCTTAGGGAATGGCTTCAGACTGAATCTCCAATGCAAGTTATGTTTCAAACACATACTGGAGATGTACTAGTTTGTCCATTTCTTTAAAAGCAGTATGAATTATATTAGTTACTGCTCTTAAGACATGATAAGCTTGTGACAGTTTTTCGTCTTAAGTAGGAAACATGAAAAGAACATTGTGGGAAAAACCATTTTTGAGCCGTGAAGGATCATTAGTAGCACCTTGACCTGCACCTCAGGTACAGCTGTTTTCCAGGTTTGCAAAAGACAAAAAATAAAAATTTTGCCCCCCCCCTTTTTTTTTTTAAATACAAAGAGGTTCGTTACAAACCAATATGTTTAAAATACAAATATTAATGTGGAACCAGATTTGTAGTTAAGGTAGGACTTGTGAAAAATTTTTTTCTAGCCTGGTGGTGGTACATGCCTTTAATTGTAGCACTTGGGAGGTAGAGGCAGTCAGGTCTCTGTGAGTTCAGGGCCATCCTGGTATCCAGAGTGTGTTCCAGGGTAGGCTCCAAAGCTATACAAAGAAACCCTGTCTCTAAAGAGGAGAAAAAAATTTTTTTTTTTTTTTCTTTCCAAAGTAGAAACTCCCTCACCCATCCCCTCTTCAGTACCAGGCCCAGACTCCCAAATGGCTGGCACATCCTCAGAAACTCTTTGAAGTGTCCACTTTATCTTGGAATGCCATGGATTTTGCACTACTTTGTATTTGCTTACTTTAAAAAAATGAGATCTAAATGTTTCCTCAAATTCTTGTAGAAGAAGCAATTGTTCAAGGAAAATAAGTCAGAGAAGCAAAAGGGACAGGGAACTCCCACACAGCTGTAGAAAAGAACTTGTGATGGGTATGGAAGCATCCTAGCTTCCCTCTGAGAAGCTGTTTAAAAAAAGGGGAGCTATACCTTGGCATTATTAAACTGGAAGACCAGTATAACTAGAGCAGAAGTGGATGCCATGCCAGGCAGTGCAATTGCCTAGGCAAGCTCGACTCTAATGGAGTTACCATCAAGCTAATGTGGTGAAGCAACTAGTGGCAAAGAATCTCTAGCATCCGGGGAAGAGGGTACCCAGTCCACAGCTATGGGTATCAGCAGGTATCCATCCCCACAGGGAGAGGGATGCATGAGGAAACGCGTGGCATCCCTTGTTCAGAATCCTTGCTCACTGAGTAAACCAGCTGCTCCTAATTTGGCTTCTCAAGGAGATTTGCCTAAAGGGAGAGAATGATTGGTAGTTATATTTCTCATTGCAAATTAAAATACCAAGACTGTTCTTTACAATATCAACTATTGTGAACTCATTTAAGGTGAGTTCCTTTTTCAAGACAACAACCCACTTCAAAAAAAGGGGGGGGGTAAAGTATCTTTATCATATGCTAAAATAAAAATATTTTGGATATATTACAATTAAGATTGTTGATGTCCTGTCTTTATGTAGAAAACAGGGAAACCACTCAGGTGGGTTCTATAACACTTGTTTTTTCTTCTAGAAAGTAAGGCCAAAAATGTTTGACCTTAAAATGTGTACTACATCCCTTCTAGTAAATTAGGACTGGAAGGTAGAAAGGCTTGGGGAATGACCTCTAACCCCAGTAGCCAGGAGACAGAGCAGTGAGATGACTCTTGAGGCCAGTCTGTCTACCCTGGTAACAGCTACCTGAGCTGTCTCAAAGAATGAGTGGCTATTGCTTACGTTGCTTTAAAAAGGCCGATAACATAAACACAACTGACACTTTCAGTCCTATCAAAGGCGACTTCTTAGGCAATTCCCAACTGTGGGAACAAAATGCTGTGAAGTCAACAACCATCCATCCTAGGCAAAACTGATGAAACTCAACCAGGCCTTGTCACGCTTGCAGTTGGCAAAAAGGAAGGCCCACACAAGCCAGAGGATGGTGTCTGCACACGGCTTGGACTGCAAAATACCCATGAGTGAATGAACGAGCCAATAGCTGACTAACCACCTAGTAACTGAGCACAAAGGGTTGAGTGGTGAGGTAAAATGCAAAGATTAAAATGAGAAAAGACTGGTTTTTATTCATCAAAAGTTAACAGCAACAGGCACGTGTTTAGATGAGTATGGCAAAGCCTTTTACAAATGGCTTTACACTCAAGCTTTCCTCCCAAGATGG